AGATAAAACATCAACGAAAGTGAAGCATCAACATCGACTGGCTGCCTCCTGCATGCCCCCTGCTGAAAATCGAGGTCACAACCTGGGCATGTGCCCTGACCAGGAACCAAACTGGCATCCTATTGGTCCATGGGCTGATGGTCAGCTACTGAGCCACACTGGCTGGGGAGGGGAAGCATTTAATTTTTTTTTATTTTTTAAAAATTATTTTCATTAATTTGTTTTTATTACAGATGTTTCTTGCCCCCCCTCCCCCCATTGACACCCTCCTCCCTCCCCTGTCACATCCCCAGCTTTGTTGCCTATGTCCTTTGGTTATGGATACATGCACATAAGTTCTGTGGTTTATCTCTTCCCTCCAAAACCTCCTCTTCTGAGGTTTGTCAGTTTGTACCCTACTCTATGTTTCTGGGTCAGTTTTGTTCATCAGTTGGATTAGTTCATTATATTCCACAAAAAAGTGAGATCATGTGATATCTGTCTTTCTTTGCTTGGATTGTTTCACTGAGCATAATACTCTCCAGGTCCCTCAATGTCATCTCAAAGGATAAGAGATCTTTCTTTATTACAGCTGCATAGTATTCCATTGTGGACATGCACCACTGCTTTTTTATCCACTCATCTAGTGATGGAACTTTGGGTTGTTTCCAGATCTTAGCCACTGCAAATAGTGCTGCTATTAACATAGGGGTACATATATTCTTTCTGACTGGTGTTTCAGGCATCTTAGGTTATATTCATAGAAGTGGGATTACTGGGTCAAATGGCAGTTCAATTTTTAACTTTTTGAGGTAACACCATATTGTTTTCCACAGTGGCTGCACCAGTCTGCATTCTCACCAGCAGTGTACTAGAGTTCCCTTTTCTCCACACCTTGTCAGCACTTGTTGTTTGATGATTTGTTGATGGCAGCCATTCTGGCAAGTGTGAGGTGATACCTCATAGTTGCTTTAATTTGCATCTCTCCGATGATTAGTGACATTGAGCACTTTTTCATATGTCTTTTGCCATTTGTATATCTTGTTTGGAGAGGTGGTTATTTAGGCCCTTTGCCCATTTCTTAATTGGGTTCTTTGACTTTCTTTTGTTGAGTTGTATGAGTACTCTATATGTTTTGGAAATTAACCCCTTACCTGATGCATCATTGGCAATATGGTCTCCCATATAATGGATTGCCTTTCCAGTTTGATGGTTGTTTCTTGTTCTGTGCAGAAGCTTTTGAGTTTGATGTAGTCCCATGTGTTCATTTTTTCCTTTGTTTCTGTTGCCTTAGGTGTTGCATCAGTGAAAATTCTGCTGGGCATGATGTCTGAAATTTTGTTGCCTATATTTTCTTCTAGGATTTTTATGGATTCACAAGTTACATTTAAGTCCTTTATCCATTTTGAGTTTGTTCTTATGTATGGTGTAAATTGGTGGTCTAGCTTCATTTTTTTGCATGTAACTGTCCAATTTTCCCAACACCATTTATTGAAGAGACTGTCTTGACTCCACTGTATGTTCTTGCCATCTTTGTCTAATATTAATTGAGCATACTGTCTTGGGTCAATTTCTGGGTTCTCTGCTCTGTTCCATTGAGCTATCTGTCTGTTCCTGTGCCAGTACAAGGCTGTTTTGATTACAGTGGCTTTGTAGTATTACTTGAAATCTGGTAATGTGATCCCTTCTACTTTGTTCTTCTTTGTCAAGATTGCTGTGGCTCTTTGGGGTCTTTTTTGGTTCCATATAAACTTATCAAGTATTTGTTCTAGTTCTGTGAAGTATGTTATTGGTATTTTGATGGGGATTGCATTGAATCTATAGATTGCTTTGGGTAGGATGGACATTTTAATGATGTCAATTCTTCCAATCCATGAACAAAGTATATGCTTCCACTTTTTATATCTTCATCTATTTCTTTTTTCAATGTTCTGTAGTTTTCTGCCAATAGATCCCTTACTTCCTTGGTTAAGTTTACTCCTAGGTATCTTAATTTTTTTTGCCACAGTGGTAAATGGGACTATTTTCTTAGTTTCTCTTTCTGTGAGTTCATCTTTGGTATATAAGAATGCCTGGTGATTTCTTGATGTGAATTTTGTATCCTGTTACTTTGCCAAATTCATTTATTAAGTCTAGTAGATTTTTGATGGAGTCTTTAGGGTTTTCTTTGTACAATATCATGTCATCTGCAAATAACGACAGTTTCACTTTCTCCTTTCTAATTTGGATCCCTTTTATTTTTTATTCATGTCTAATTGCTGAGGCTAAGACTTCAGTACTATGTTAAATAAGAGTGGCAAGAGTGGGCATCTCTGTCTTGTTCCTGTTCTTAAGGGGAATGCTTTTAGTTTTTACCCATTGAGTATAATGCTGGCTGTAGATTTTTCATATATGGCCTTTATTTTGTTGAGGTATGTTCTCTCTATACTCATTTTGCTGTAAGTTTTTATCATATATGTATGCTGGATTTTATCAAAATGCTTTTTCTGCTTATAGCTTACATTTTGTTTACGTAAGGTATCACATTTATTGGTTTGTGAATATCGTGCTGACCCTGCATCCCTGAAATAAATCTCAATTGATCATGGTGTTTGATCTTTTTAAGGTGTGGCTGGATATATTTTGCTGATGGTAAAACCCTCTGTTGAGGGTTTAGTATCTATGTTCATCAGGGATATAGGCTTATAATTTTCTTTCTGTATAGTGTCTTTATCTGGTTTTGGAATTAAGAAAATGCTGGTCATGTCAAAAGAACTTGGAAGTCTTCCCTTCTATTGAATTTTTGAAACAGTTTGAGGATGCTCGGTGTTAGTTTTTCTTTGAATGTTTTGTGAAATTTACCTGTGAAGCCATCCAGTCCAGGACTTTTGTTTGTTTGTTGAGAAATTTATGTTTACTACTTCAATTTTATTAGTTATAATCTGTCAATTCAGGTTATCTGATTCTTCCTGATTCAGTTTGGGAAGACTGTGTGTTTCTAGCAATTTATCCATTTCGTACAGATTGTCCCATCTGTGAGTCGTTGGTTGGCATTGCGGGGGTGGGTGGGTCCTGGGAACCATGTGCCTTTCCTTGACATGACATACCTCCTGACATTATAATGCACCCTCCAAAGACTGAGCATACTTTCCCAGGTAATGTCCTGAAGCTCTCGGTGAGGCTCACAGCAGCTGTAATGATATGTGCATTAGCTACTGTGAAACATTAGTCACATTTCTATTTTTTCAGCTACAAGACAAATATTAGATTTTTTTTTTTTAGTGAAGTTGACATAAAGTCCTCAAAGTTGTACTCTGTATGTCTTCCCTGTTAGGTCACATAGTATACCTCCTCCATCCCTCCCACCACCAGCCTGCTTTTTACTTGGATGCTTCTGGCTGTAGGAACCTAAGACAGCTCCCTTGTGGAAGTGGTCCTTGAACTTGTCATCTGGAGAACATGGGGGCAGCGTATCAAGCAGGAAATACAGCAACCTCTTTCATAAGAAATCCCAAACGAGTGGATGATGAGTCCTGGGACCCAAGGGCAGGTTGGAAAGTGGTATAAACACTTTCCAGTGCTTTTGTGCACTGACTAGCATATTTGAATCTTATAATCTTACTTGAGATTTGAATCTCAAGCCCCCAGAGAAGGTCTTGAGGACATACAATGAGAAGAGGATCAAGGGCAGTGCCATACTGGGGAGCAACGCTTGAGGCACAAGAGGAGAAAGAGGAGCAGGTGTGGGGGGAGGAAGGCATCTGGGAACAGTGGAGCAGAACCATGAGGCGGTGTTTTAAACAGAGAGTGGATTGTTGGGTCACATCCTGCAGAGGTCAGGAATGTAAGGATGAAAACAGAACCACTGAGCTTGTCAATTTGGGAGGGGGAGGGGAGCATTGGTGACTTCAGTGAGAACAGTATTGTCCTTGGAATGGGGCGTGAAGGGGTGGGAGAGAGCCGAGTTGAGAGTGGTGGTTACTAAGGTGGTAGAGACTGTCTTCTGACCTTAGTCACCTTCCTTTTTCCACCATGTGTCTCTGCTTCTGCAAGAAGCACTGGACTAGTCTTCTGGAATTCTGGTTTGGGGCTTGCCTGTGCTCATGGCTGGCTCGATATCCTTGGGAAAATTTCTTCCCTCTCTACCTGTGTGTTTCCACCTCTCCATAGATCTCCAAGGTCTCTTCCGGTTTTTAATGTGTCCTTTCTCTGGAGAATATGGGAGTGAATGGAGGTGTGCAGACAGATGGCTTGTGGGATAGTGCAGAGCAAGCTCACAATGTTATTGACCATTGGTGAGCTGTCACCTTAAGTTGGTGAAGGGACCCTGTGGAATGATGGGCCTAGGGTACAGAACTAACAGAGTAGGTAGTAGGATAAGAAAGAGACTCTTTTCCAAATAGCCCTATGATGATTTCAGTAGGGAAGATTGGTGGTGGTAACAGAATATGGAAAAAACAATTATTTTATAGGAGGACTTCTCCAAAGGTCTTCCTAAAACTGTGGTTTGTTATTCCACTAAACAACAACAACAACCCCTCCCTTACCCCACAAAGTCCCATTAAATACTGCTTTCTCAACCAGGCTTGTTCTGTGTCTCCCATCACTGTCAGATTAAATAATTGTCCTCTTTGTTCTTTCTTGACACATCCCCACATTCTGCCTGTGTTAGAAAAATTGCTTGCACATTGTTTCTCTTGTGAGGCAGAAGTTCCTTGAAGTCAAGGACTTAGTGTGTTCACCCATGTTCATCCTCCTCCTGCCATGGGTAGAGGCTTGGCCATATCACATGCTCAGTGCATATTTCTTCAGTGAGTGAATGATTGGGAGAATGGAGCTTGGGTTGTCTAGACATTTGTTCCTCTAACTCATAAGCTCACGCAGGTAAACACGTGAATATGTGCACACGACGCCCCACATGTGGATGACCTAAGGAGGACCTCCTTGCTCAAATCCACTTTAATTTGTGTGTCTTTTCTAATGGAGGAACAGCATGATTTACCTAGATAAAGTGAATAACGTCCAGGTATTGTACAGTTGGAGAGACTTTTATTTAGTTTGTCAGGAAAAGAAGAAGATGAGTTTTAGAAGCCCAGAAAAGAGATTTCTTCTTTTGTTCCATGTGAAAGGTGTTGTAGGACCTCTGATTATTTGGAGTCCTGGACGTCACTGGAATGAGTTGGTGGTGAGTTTTCTGGTACTGGATTGGCCTCTGTGTTTGGCATGTTGACAGTTTGGTAGACTAGGGTCCCCTGGAAAAGACGGGCACAGAAGGTGCACTGGTGAGAACCGCGCATGCACAAAGGCCTTGAGACATTCTGGAGCCCCTCTACTCCTCGGCAGGAAGCAGAAGCCTGAAGACCCCCTCCTCCCCATGCTCTTTGGGGCATCTTTCCACCCATGGAGGAGCCTACAAACTCACATTGTTTTGTGAATGGTGAACCAGTAGGCAGCCAAAGTGGGCACACGTGCAGGCAATGCTGAACTCCAGGAGGCTAAAGATGAACAGCACAGCAGAAGTACCTATTCCAGGGGCCTGGAACCAGAAGAAACGGGGAGGTCATGAGTGCTGCTCATGTCTGGGAGTCTGCGGCCCGGCGGGAAGGTTGCTCTGCAGAGGACCATGGCTATGGCTCTGAGGAATCCCCAGCCTCGCCTCAGCCTCTCGGGGAACATATCTCACCAGGTTTTGGGAGGGTCAAGAGTGTTTGCAAAATAATCGTTTTAATGCTTATACCTGTGTTCTTCTGAGGCAAAGACCCGTCATTGTTTAGGGGAAGACCCTGATAACTTGTTTCTGGCACATGGAGTGAGACCTCAGGATGAGGTCTGCAGTGGGCCAGTGAAACAGTGAAACTGTTTGTGTGGGAAGTGAGTAGAAATCTGGGTGTGTGGACAAGCCACAGAGAGGAGGTGAGATGGTTAGAGGAGAAAGACGGGACTGAGCAACAAGACGGGAAGGTGGAGCCTGCAGAAGAAGTCGACCTGTGGGAAATTGAGACATTACAAAAGAGGCATCAGTAGCTACCTCCACCGCCCCTCTGAACCTGTGGAGAACGTGGTGACTGATACAGCCTTCCTGGCTTGTGGTCGTGGCATTTGTGAAGAGAAATAATTGAGACTGTCTTTACCTTGGGAAAACAGTCAGTAAAAGGACCCCCACGCTGAACTAACTCAGCAGTAGTTGAGCTCACATGAGCACCTGCAGACATCTGAGCCTTTCCCTTACTCTTCGCTCAGAATGTCCAGGAGACTGGGGCCTCCCACGGTATCTGGGGAGAGAGTTTGGGTAGAATCCACTTTAATCATAAAAGCACAAGGGATGAGGAACTTCAATAACCATTTGGATTCTAATTACAGGAGAGAAGAACTTTGAAGGTGAAAATGGGTGCCACATGGTAGGTACCAAGCAATGTTTGTCAGTTATGACTTTTAAAATGGTATTGGTGATGGCTAGCTGCTCAGAGAATCCTCCCCTTGGAGAGACCCCTCCTTAGCACTTTCCTTCCTTCCCCTCGTGATTTAGCAAGCATTTATCAAACATCTGTTTGGTACAAATGGCCAAGAGATCATCCTGCGAGGCACAGTCTAGTGAGGGAGGAGATAAAGATGTAGGTAATTATAATTTAAATTAGACATGGTAAGTGTTATAAACAGCCAGAACATAGTGGCTCAGTGCACAGAGGAGAGACATAGACTTGTTGTCAGTAGAACATTAATAGAGGGGTAGCTCAGGTGTCCAGACAAAGGGAACGGCATGATGGTGATGTCTTAGACAAGGAATCACAGAATCTTAAGGAGGAGGGGCCTTTGCCAATGATACTGGTCCTTTTCAGATGTGTTTTTACAAGAAAATTCTTTTATAAACAAAAACTCCTACTGGGAGGAGGTTTTGGGGATAGGTGAAAAGGTGAAGGGTTTAAGAAGTCCTAATTGGCAGTTAATCAAATATTCACAGGGAGGTAAATTAACATATAGCATAAGGAATGTAGTCAATTAAACTGTAATGACTATGTATGGTATCATACAGGTATACTATCTATTGGGGTGATCACCTCATAAAATATATGTGTCTAATCATTATGCTGAACACCTGAAACTAACAAAACGTTTGTATGTCAACTGTAATAGAAAAAAAAAAAAAAAACCTTCCACAAGGGAGAAGGATTCCTCAAGCAGCTTAGATAGTTATTATTTGGTGAGCATTAATTCATACTGTTGAGCCAGCTCTTGGCTCAGCTTTTGTAAAGCTATGATGAAGTCCAGAACTTCTTGCTCAGGACTGAGGCCAGAGGTGAGTGGGTGGCCGGGATGGAAGAGCTCTCTTTCCAAGATCAAACATTGGCAGAAGTGAGATTAGGAGCCAGGTGAGTGTGCTCTGGCCAGTGTGGTGACCGAGAAGCTGGTGGAAATGGCTGGCCTCTGGATGAGTTTTACAGGTGAGACCAGCAGGATTTCCTGTGGAGTTGGCTGGGAGGTGTGGGAGTAAAAGAGAGGGTCAAGGATTTTGCCAAGGTTTTGTCCTGAGAGACTGGAAGGATACAGTTGCCGTCAACTGGGAAAAGAAAACCTAGAGGTTTAGGAAGTGAAATCAGGAGATCCGATTTGGATATGTTAATTTCAAGATAGTGCGTAGACAACAGGACACAAGAGATAAGTTTGTGAAAGAGGTTTTGGGGGAAAACTGTGCATTTGGAGTCACTGTCACAGAGAAAGTCTTCCAGGTCACAGACTGCATGAGTTTGTCAAGGCAGTGAGTAGAGAGAAACAAAAGAAGATGAAGAAATTGCGAAAAAGGGATTGGGGACAACAGGGGTCTTTAGAGCCTGAGAAATTGAGGACAAGAGAAGAACCAGCAAAGGAAACAGAGAAGAGAGCAACCAGCATGGGTGCAGGAAAACCAGGTGTAAGGCCTGGAAGCCACTGAGAAGTATAGTTACAGTGGGTTCAAGAGAGACAACGAGAGGAGAGAATTGGAGACAGTGAGGTAGAGAATTTTTTCCAGCATTTTTTTTCTCCTGAGATGGTGAGAGAAACAGGGGAGTAGCTGCAGTAAGTGAGAGAAGGTTTGTTTGCCTTGAAGATGAAAGAAACAAATGTTTGTTTAGGAACTGATGGAGAAGCTTAGCAAAACAGGGTAAGTGATGTAGAAGAGAGGTGGGAACAGGAAAATGGGAGCAGCACTTGGAGTGATAACCTTGTGTGGGTGGAGAGAACAGAGGTTTGGTGCAGAGGGACTCATCGATAGCTGCACTTTCCGATCTCGTAGCCACCAGTCCCCTGAGGACTTGAGATGTGGTGTAAATGCAAAATACACATTGGATTTCAAAGATGTGGCACCAAATATTGAATTAACAGGTTTTTTTTTTTACACGAATAGCATGTATAAATGCCATTTTGCATATTTTGGGTTAAATAAATGTATCATTAAAACTGATTTCACAGATAAAAACCACATGATATCAATAGACACTGAAAAAGCATTCGACAAAATCAAGTGTCCATTTCTTTTTTTTTTTTTTTTTTTTTTTATCCTCACCCGAGGACATTTTTCCATTTTTTGTTCAGGTAGAGTGGGAGGGAGGGAGAGGAACAGAGAGAGAGAGAGAAACATCGATGTGAAAGGAACACATCGAGTGGCTGCCACCCGCACAACCGACCAGGGCTGGGGACAAACTGCAACCGAGGTACATGCCCTTAGCGGGAACCGAACCCGGGTCTCTCAGGACTGCAGGCCGACGCTCTAACCGCTGAGCCAAACCGGCCAGGGCTCAAGTGTCCATTTCTGATAAAAAAAGTTCCACAACGTGGGATTAGGTATAATGAAGGCCATATATGAACAACTTACAGCCAACATTATACTCAATGGGCAAAATCTAAATGCTTTTCTCTTAAGAACAGGAACAAGACAGGAATGTCCACTTTCACCACTCTTACTTAACATAGTACTGGAAATCTTAGCCACAGCAATTATAAGAAAACATAAATGGATCCAAATTGAACAGGAGAAAATGAAACTGTCATTATTTGCAGGTGACATGATATAGCACACAGAAAACCCTAAAGACTCCATCAAAAATCTACTAGATTTAATAAACAAATTTGGCAAAGTAGCAGGATACAAAATTAACGTCAAGAAATCAATGGCATTCTTATACACCAATAATGAACTCACAGAAAGAGAAACTAAAAAAAACAATCCCATTTACCAGTGTGGCAAAAAAATAAGATACTTAGGAATAAACTTAACCAAGGAAGTAAAGGATCTATTGGCAGAAAACTACAGGACATTGAAAAAAGAAATAGAGGAAGATATAAAAAGTGGAAGCATATACCTTGTTCATGGATTGGAAGAATTAACATCATTAAAATGTCCACACTGCCCAAAGCGAACTATAGATTCAATACAAACCCCATTAAAATACTAATGACATCTTTCACAGAACTAGAACAAATACTTGATAAGTTTATATGGAACCAAAAAAAAAGCCCGAATAGCTACAGCAATCTTGAAAAAAAAAAAATAAAGTAGAAGAGATCACAATACTGGATATCAGGTTATACTACAAAGCCACTGTAATCAAAACAACTTGGTACTGGCACAAAAACATATAGATCAATGGAACAGAATAGAGAACCCGAAAAGTGACTCAAGATATTGTGCTCAATTAATATTGGACAAAGGTGGCAAGAACATACAATGGGGTAAAGACAATCTCTTCAATAAATGGTGTTGGGAAAAATTGGACAGTTACATGCAAGAAAATGAAGGTAGACCACCAACTTACACCATACATAAGAATAAACTCAAAATGCTTAAAAGACTTTAATGTGACTCGTGAATCCCTACAAATCCTAGAAGAAAATGTAGGCAACAAAATTTCAGACATCACACAGAACAGAATTTTCACTGTTACAATGCCTAAGGCAAGAGAAACAAAGGAAAAAATGAATACATGGGACTACATCAAACTCAAAAGCTTCTGCACAGCAAAAGAAACAAGCATCAAAATGGAAAGAGATTCCACTATATGGGAGAGCAAAACTGCCAAAAATACATCAGATAAGGGTTAATTTCCAAAATATAAACAGTACTCATACAACTCAACAAAAGGAAGATAAAGAACTCAATTTAAAAATGGGCAAAGGGGATGGTGGGCAGGACCGGAGGGAGGGTGAGTGTGTGAGAGAGTGAGCTAATGTGTGAGAGTGTGAGTGGACGTGAAGGTGGATGACCAAACCCGAGCAGTGCAGAGACACAGAGCTGAAGGTTCCTGTGCTGTGTACAGGAGCAGCCGGCTACTGCAGTAAGCAGCTCTTCAGGGTGCTTCTCCCTGCGCTGCAGGGAGGTCCCACCATTTTGGAAGATCCTGGGTTTTCCCTAGGAGGAGGCAGTGGGAGCGGCTAGGCCCAGCAACCTGAGCCCACCAGTGCACCTGGCACCATCGGACCAGTGGACACTCTGTGTCAACACAGACCAGTGCATAATAGTGGAGCTCCCAAGGTACTGGTTGCGGAAGCCACAGATAGCTGGAG